AATTGCTAGCTGTGGTAAAGTCGTTGCAACATTTTAGCAAATATCTTCTGGGACGAAAATTTCACTTACGAACTGACCATGCTGCACTAAAATGGCTATTGCAGTTTAAAAACCCAGAAGGACAAGTTGCGAGGTGGATTGAACTACTGCAGGAATACGACTTTGAGATCGAACATCGCAGCGGGAAATCTCATGGCAACGCAGATGCATTGTCAAGAAGACCTTGTCCTGAAGATTGCAAACATTGTACTAGGCAAGAGAGTAAGGAAGTGGTATCCGTGAGGATGCTCAGGGCAGACCACCTCAGCAACGAGTGGAAGGACAGCTTACTACATGCACAGCAGGAAGATCCGGACATCAAGCCGATTCTGGAATGGATAAAGGCCAGTGCTCCCAAGCCCAAGTGGAGTGACGTCTCAGCGATGAGTTCGACCACTAAAAGCTATTGGGCCCAGTGGGACAGCTTGCTGCTTCAGGATGGAGTTCTGTGTCGGAAGTGGGAAAACGTTCGGGGAGACAGCTGTCATTTGCAAATGGTTGTCCCTAAAGTTAAAGTACCGGATGTTCTACAGCTGTACCATAATGATTGTTCAGGAGGCCATCTGGGAGTTAAACGAACTCTACTGAAGATCCGAGAACGGTTTTACTGGGTCCACTGTCGAAACGATGTCGAGGACTGGTGTCGCAAATGTACAAGTTGTGCGGCTGTAAAGGGACCTCAGACTCGTAGTAGAGGTGCATTGAAGTTGTACAATGTTGGTGCACCATGGGAGAGAATAGCCATTGACGTGGCGGGGCCGTTTCCGGAGAGTGAAAGCGGTAACAAGTATTTCATGGTTGTGATGGATTACTTCACTAAGTGGCCAGAAGTCTTCGCCATTCCAAATCAAGAAGCTTCAACAGTTGCAGATAAACTAGTTCATGAAGTCTTCTGTCGTTTTGGAGTACCTTTAGAGATTCACAGCGATCAAGGAAGGAATTTTGAGTCTCAAATATTCCAGGAAACTTGCCGAGTTATGGGTACTCATAAAACAAGAACGACTTCTTATCACCCGCAATCTGATGGAATGGTGGAACGATTTAATCAGACATTGGAGAGGTACCTAGCAAAAGTTGTAGACAATCGGCAACGAGATTGGGACAAGCACATACAACCGTTTTTGTTGTCATATCGAAGTTCTGTTCACGAAAGTACAGCAGTGACACCAGCTTTCGCAAACTTTGGAAGAGAATTACGGCTGCCTGCAGACCTGATCACCGGGATACCACCCGATGCTCCACGCAGTATAACCGATTATGCAAATGACTTGCGGAAAAAATGAATGACGTTTATGAGCACGTCAGACAATCGGGCCAGCAAATGTCTGAAAAGATGAAAACCCGGTATGACCGCAAAATGAACAACAAAGGGTTCGACGAAGGTTCACTTGTGTGGTTGCACAATCCAGTCCGCAGCAAAGGGAAATCTCGTAAGCTTCAAGCTAAATGGGACGGCCCGTACCGGATTGTAACCAGGATCAACGATGTGACCTACCGGATACAGAAAGGCGCAAGAGGGACTCCTAAGATCGTCCATGTGGATCGCTTGACGCGTTATTATGGGACCGATAATGCTCGGGACGAGCATGTCTTAGGAGGGGGGCAGTGTTGCATGAATAAGTCAACTAGCGCCATCTAGTGTCAGGAACGAGAGCGAGGGGAGCATTGAGAAAATGACATCACAAATCGCTCAACTGACAGCGCCTAGTCGAAACTCGAACGCTCGGTACCTTCCGCGTGTTTACTTGAACATTCTGGATATTTCTTTGCTAATTTAAATATATAGGCGCTGCAAGATGCGATGGAGGCAGTGTTGATTTGGGCGAAACAAGCGAAGCTTCGGAGTGGAATTAAGTGAATTAGTGTGTTTAAATTATTAGTGTTTTAACTTTAATTGTGTAAAGTAAATTAAAGTGTTAATTTAGGTAATTTTATCGGCAATTTTTATTGTCACGAACCTCAAGCTCGTAACAATATTTAAATATAATTTGTTAACACTAAATCATACACACGTAAGAAAATAACAGAAAGAAAAGTAAGTTTGTCAATAGAATAAACACTTACATCCATGGCCTTTGATGCGTTGAAGTAACACAAACGTAGTATTGATAGATCCACTGCGGTCAAACGACCATACACTAACTCCATGACTGCAGTTGCTTGGTCTTATATAGTACCAGTGAGTAATAATTCTAATCTAAAGAATTTCTGCAGTAGAATTGATAGTATCTTTATGCGTCAACAAGCTTACCTTACATTCTGTTGGTTATCTCTACATTCCTACGTCCTTCCTGTCATGTCTTGTTCAGTGTATTGGTGACTTAAATACGTTTTGTATAACACAAAGAAAGCAATTTAATATTTAGATATCACTATAATTGATCATTCCTATATTAGTCATTGAGTAGATTGGTACTGTAATAATCTACTAATAGCAGTAATATTATGGATACACTAGATGTACAACAACATCTGAAAAAGATTCACCCCACTCTAGAAAATAATGTTTATGCTGCCAATAAACTACCCATGTACACCCACGTACCAACGTATATAATATGCAATTTGGATACAGATGATAAACCAGGGTCACATTGGGTATCTTTATATATCGATACGAATGACGTCGGTCAATATTTTGATTCATTCGGACGGGCACCTGTACGATATCATCTAGAGTTTTTTAAAAGAAATTGTAAAAGATGGAACTGGAATGTTGATAGGATTCAGAATGAGTGGACTTCAGTTTGTGGCGAATATTGCTTAATGTATTTGCTATATAAGTTTCAGGGATGTTCAATGCATAGTTTTACGAGTATATTTACAGAGAACACATTGTACAACGATATTTTAGTGGATGAGATGTTTCGCTCCTATTTTATAGATAATAAGTAATAAGATTTTGTATTTCATAAATAAAAATTTTAACAAAATTAGGTAATGTGTTTTATTGATGATTCAGATTAGTGTTGTAGATAGGAACAAAGGAGTATAATACAATAGCATAAGCCGACCCACACGCTGGACGAATAATAGATAATGACGGTAGTTATTCAACAATAGATAAGTAGATAAGGACAATGGAGCGCTAATGACGGTTGAGGCTCGCAGCGGATTTTTTTTTGTAGGATTGTGAGTCGACGAACGTCGTGCGCCAGAACTGGTACAACCTTTCTACAAGTGCGCCAGAACTGGTACAACGTAACTACTGTGGGATTATCGGTTTTTAGTAGGTATTTTAGAATATGTTAGGTAAATTGTAAGAAGTATATTATAGTGTAAGTATGTATTTATTCTTGATACTGTTGTCCTATAAAATTACGTCCCGCTGTTGACGCTAAATATTCTTTAAACGTTTCTCTTACCGCAAATGCATCACTAGCCGGTCTTCCTGGTTGAACGCTCAATGGATTTAATAAATGTGGTTGCGCATTTTGTGCACTATGATTGATAAGCCCTGTGTAATCTTTTTGTTCGCATAAAAAATTATGCAGTACGCATGTAGATAGAATAATGTAATCAACATTTTCTGGAGCAAGTTTCATTCTTCTTTGAAATATTCTAAATCTTTGTGTCAAAATACCAAAGGCATTTTCGACTAGTCGCCGGGCCAAAGACAGTCTATGATTAAAATTCGTTTTATTAGCGTCACCTGTTGCTTGGTGTCCTGGATACGGTCGCATTAGGTATGTTTTCAAAGGAAACGCTTCATCACCAACTATTACAAATGGTGCAAACTTAGAGGAACCGGGTAAATTTTTACCAATAGGTACATGAAGCGTCCCATTTTCTAAACGTTTTCCAAGATTACATTGTGCAAAAATGCCACCATCACTGTTTCGTCCGTAAGCGCCAACATCAACTGCAATAAATTTGTAGCATGCGTCCACTAACGCCAATAAAACAATTGAGAATGTGTGTTTATAATTAAAATATATAGAACCACTATTGGCTGGGGCTTCAATAACAAAATGTTTTCCATCCAATGTGCCTATACAATTTGGAAAACCTCTAAGGTTTTCAAAATCTTCGGCAATTGTACGCCACATTTCTTCTGTTGTTTCTGGTATAACGTCTTTCTTAAATCTTTTAACGATAGATCGACATGTGCTATGTACAATTTCGGTCACAGTTGAATGCCCCAATCGAAAACTGTACGAAATAGTTTTAAACGAATCCCCAGTAGCCAGGAACCTGAAAAAATAATAATGGTATAGTTTCGCGGTATCTGTGTATTACAGTGAGCTATTACGTATTAATAGTACCATTTATACAGGTTGTAAAGAAAATTACTTAACTTGTTCATTCTATACTATCTTTTTGCAGATGATGTATGTAAAAAAAGGTGGGCAAAAACATACGGGACCAGTTCAAAAAACATATAAACAAACGTAAAACTATGAGTGGACAGGGTGCTGTGGCTATAAAAAAATATAAATATGAAGAGAGCTTGAATTTTTTACTGCCTCATATACAGGATCGAAATACAATAACAAGTATCGAGTCTGAGAACGAAGAGACGCAAAACGAAGCGGTTACTTCGCCAGTTACTACGCCCAACGAAACAATTAACACCGATGAACAGCAGCAGCAGGAAGATCGCTCACCAGCTATTAGTGAACCAAATTTTACTTGACCTGCTGATCCGAATCCATATCCCCCGTCAACTGCACAATTCACTCGTTCCGGCAACCGCAATCGCAATGCAACCGTTGCAACTGCACACAATCGCCGTCGTATAGTGCCACAATCCCAGTCCTCTGCGTCAAGCGCATTAATGGAATACATTCTAAAAAATAAAGAAAAGTCCAACACGACATTCATCCTATTAATGCTTTCTTCAACGGTTTGGCAGCCACCATAAAATCTTTTTCCCCTTACTATCAGCATCTTGCAAAAGGAAGAATATTTGCAGTAGTACAAGATTTGGAGTGGGAGCAATTGTCATCAGAGCCTTCTTCTTACACATCTCCAATGAGTGGAACAACGTCGGCGTCGTCTACTAATTCAAGGTCGGTGTATGCACCGGTTCCGATGACTACACCAACGCCAACACCGGAATCAACGCCTACGGAACCTACGCCTTCGGAACCTTCGCCTTCGGAACTTACGCCTTTGGAATCTAATAATTTGTCTACTTTATTTTCAGAATTCACGGCAGACTAATGAAATGAATAAATACTATGCGAATTATTTAAATTTTTACTTTTTTTCTTTCTCAATGCAATTTTGATTATTGAAAAATTGAAAATGAAGTTTACATAATGATTTCTTATATTTACGCGAACACTACACATTGAAATAATACTAGTTTTTATGGAATTTATCGCGTATATTTAACTTTTTTAAATACCCGACGTTTCGAATGCTATACAGCACTCATGGTCACGGGCAGGACTGAGATGCTCAACGTCCATATGTCATAGTTAACCGCGGTTACCATAGATTAAAATTTAACTTTTGTTCCGATCTATGCAGTATGAACTTATGGTATCTTGAAGTCTTGCAGTTGTATGCTTGGGTTGGGATTTAATTTTATTTATTATAGGATCCCAAGCAGATGGTAGCACCCAGCCATCTTCTCTATTGAAATTAGGATGTTTTTTGATTTCAATAGCCTCGCGAATCATCCTTGGAAGGAATCGGTGTTCTTTAGCGAGGATCTGCGGTCTATCAAATCTGATGTAGTGACGGGGGCGATCCTGTACGTGTTCACAGACTGCAGACTTCCCGGAGCGTACGCTACGGGGATGAAAATGAAGTATTTAGAAAAAATCGACCCATCTTACAACCAGCTCTGATAGATGGTTGTGAGACGGGTCAATTTTTAAATACTACATTTTTAAATACTATGTGATTTAATGCATATCAATTTATTATTTACCTGATGCAGACTGCTAATCGTTCGATGGAAGATATAGGCTTTTGAAATCTTGTAATTTTTTTGGTTAGGTCTGGTTTTACTTTTTCAAGTAATAAAGTAAAGCATTCTTTAGACATTCTAAAATAACCATAAAACTTGCTCTCATCATCTATTAATTCTTTGTAAAGTAAAGCAAATTCTCCTTCTGCTTCTCGCTTTCTCCAGGTTGGATGTACACCCCATCTTCTTTTAGTAGTTTCGCTTCGTTTTTCCAATACTTCATCATCGATGGCAATTGCAATAGCTGCCAATTCAAATTGTGAAAATTGCATATTTACGTAAGCGTGAAGTCTATCGACAGATGAAATCACTAGCTGACAAAAAACACATAACACAGAATCGTGCATAAGCCACGGTCGTGCAAACAGCCCGGTGTAACATGAATGACTGGCCCGGCCAGCGCACGGTGGACGTGTCCCGGCCAGGGCACGGCCCGGCCGCGCCACGTTGTAGCGTGAATCATCCTTTAAGCGTAAAAAATTTGCTACACTATTATTTCATGACTTTTTTAAAATAAGTTATAATAGAATATTTTAGGCCTATATTCATCAGGCCATTACCAGTCCATTACTAGACACGAGTCTTTCTCTCAGTAGAGAATACTTGCTATAATGGGTATGATATTCAGGCGAGTTGACAACTAAGTATTTGCATCATTAAGATTATGAAAATTACGGTAGCAGACTATAATATTATCTTATGGTATTAATATGAAAAATTTTCCAAGGTATTTTCGGTCGATAGATCATTTTCAGCATCATAAACAGAACTCTGTACAGAATATATTGCAGTATCAATGAATGACCATAAATATAAATCGGATTTTATAGAAGCCTTACGATAGAATCGAAGCATGTATATGTTCATTTATATGTATATGTGCATACATTTCGTACGCAGCATCTACAACGCAATACTCATATGCAGACTCAATAATTAGTGAAATGCAAATATATTGCCTGCACTTGAAATTCGCTGTGTGGTATGGCTTTAGAGAATCCTCCACCACTCGTATTCTATTGGTCTTGTTAGAGGCGACTAACGAAAATGCCGGAATTTCATAATAAGAATAAGCGAGATACGTGTATCCCAACCCTCGGATACAGAAATTACATAACCAGACCCGAAAGCCAAAATTTCGAACCTAGGACCACGTGGTTTACGCTCAAAATACCAGTGTATTTACACAAATACTACTTTAAGTTTCCAAATATCAGTATATGTTTTAGCTTTAACATTATAATATATACACACACACATATATATATATATATATATATATATATATATATATATATGTATACGTGTATATATATAATCATCAGCCTCAACAACCAATTTCAGGACTTGGTTCTTTATTTAGTTTACGTCAATAAGGAATGTGGAGACGACGTGCCATTCTGTTACTGCGTTCCGGGACGAGGGCCAAGGGGAAAATGCATGATCATCTGGACCATGTCACTGGCTTGGAAAAACGCGAACTGCTAGCCCATCTTGCCGGCGATTGTGATCCATTCCGAATAATGGCAATTAAAAAAGGTGCCACAATTTTTTTTAGACGTAGACGTAGAAAATGCAGCATGTAATATTGTATGTACAATGTATTGTGAAAAGATTGTAAAGGATCCATGGCTACAATATAGATAATAGATGCTGGATAGAATTCATGTTTCATAAATATGAAATAACAAATTGATTTTTTACACTAATAATGGTTAAGATCTAATTTAATCTCAATATAAACAAAAATCATAAGAAACCAATCAATTTCTGCCCAATGAATGAAGAATGTGAAGAACACATGGTTTCTTGTACACATGTTAAATCTCATGAAGGCAAGTAAGCCTGGTTTGTAGTTGTGGTGTGTATGTGTGTTTGTGTTCGTAGCTGCATATCATCGTCAGTAGTCCAAAATACTGCACGGTATATATCTTGAAATTTACTCCTAGCAAGTAAGTAGGTATAATTTACTATAATAGTCTGGGCGGACACTGCAAGATAACTTCCTAATCGAATGCCTAATCGAATAATGTGAAACACCACCTCCCACAATAAGCAGACCTAAAATACGTAAGAAAAACTTTGTTCTTCTAAAGCTTAGCATGGTGGGTCCTTCGCAGAGAAACGACATATTGTCCTCTTGGGGCTATCATTTTATCTGATAACTGATCCTAATAAATTAAACGAATATAATAATATATATAAGATGACCAGGAACTTAGCGAATATAATAGCCTACTGAGACATCATTCCAGACAGACAATGTTTAAAATTTTTTTTTTTGGTTTGGTAGTGTTGTAATTATGCTCTAACGCAGTCTAAACATTCGACTAAATAGAAATGCTTTTCACCATCATTACAGACTATGAAAAATCCACTGTTGAAACAGGCCTCCCCTATAAGTTGCCTCATAAAGGGATATTTGCCATAGATGTCACACATGGCAGGCGGTTTGATAAACGCAATTTTGTAATCAGAAAGACAGACAGCTGCCCAGCTTCTATTTCACTTACCTCTGCTACCACATACGACACCTGGACCCTGGATTATATGGGGTAGTGGATTCTCTTAAGCCGTCACTACCCGGCTGAAATGGAAAATACAACTCGCAACGAGTTTGACTCTCCATTCGTTATAACTAACGGTACTATGGCTTGTTCTACACAATTAACAGGTTTTTTTTAATTCTTTAAACGAATCATACATGTTAGAGTCACGGTGCAGCCAATGGGTTGGCTCGACCGGGGAAGGACCACGCTCTCACAGAATAGAGTGAGTGTAGAGGTCCGGAGACACTTTTTACTGGAAACGAAGCATTTCATCTTAGTCCTCAGGGGTGACAACGCATCTGCGTTTAGATTCTTAATCGAGGATAAATGAAGATATCTATGGGCCACAACATCCACTTACTATCAGGTGGACTGTGTTCCCTTATTTAATAAAATCAAATAAAAATATAACAGATTGGGTGCGTTTGGCAGAAAAAAGCGCTAGCAAGCGCTTGTAAGCAAAATGGCGATCGTAAGCGGTAAACGCTGTCAAATCGTAAGTAGCTATTTTCCTCCAGGACACGATGTTAGTTTTAACCGGGGAACCTAACCTAATTTAAATATATGTTTGTAAAGTATTCATATTAAAAACTTACTAATCATGATTTTTTAATAACATGTATATGTTTATTCACGTTATTATATTACTTAAAACTAATATTGCACAAAACAACTTATAAATTCTACTTCAAAACAAACAAATTAAATAAGCAAAATGGCGGATTGTGTCAGCGCTACTGAAGTAGTAATCGTGTCCTGGCAGAAAACTATTTCAGCGCTTGTAAGCGCTTGCTAGCGCTTTTTTCTGCCAAACGCACCCATTGATTTTGCATTTCTAGGTCCGGGTACCTTGGAGTGTCCAAATCTGATCCCGAGCGCTTTCGACAAGCGTATTGTCGGCTGCATTTGTCATCCGGACACAAACCACATCGAGTACATGTGGCTGCATCAGGGAGAGCCAAAGCGATGCGGCTGTGGACACTGGTTTGAATTATGCCCAATTGCTCCGCTGTGAAGTAATTGTAATTCTAAAATAATTGATTTTACTAACAAAACTTTTTTTAGGTATATGATTTGTTACCAAAGAAAGTGACTGACACATACATATTGCGTATTATTTACTGTCTTACCTTATCAAAGTCGAAGTAAAAGTCTAAACTTTTCATTCATCTTAAGCTTCTATAAAACTCCTGTGAACGTCAGGTATTTCTGGTGTACAATAAAGTATATTTCATTCATTCATTCATTACTCATAAGAAAAATATATAAAAAAATTCATTCAATATTTTTAAAATGTCAGTTTTAACAAAATAATATTAGCAGCCGCGTTTTTACAAGTGCAAAGTGAGAGTTATTTCCACACATTATCGCCCACATATATACCTATTGGTCTATTTTATAGTAGGCTTTTTTAACAACGCTTGTTTAGTAAGTTTATAACCGGCTGTTGCATTATTTTTAATTGATTTTTAGATGTTATTATAAAATTACCGTGTAATGGCGGTTTAAAAATATCCACTAACCCATATAGTCACGAGGGTGACGTAAGAGGCGAGGTAAATTGAAACAGGTAATGGACAGCACCATCTAATAACAACACAAATTAATAAAATCCTGCGGTTGACAACCCGCTCACCAAGCGTGTCAACTATGGCAAAATTCCGCCTGTTAGAGAATCTGTGGAGAACGCCTATGTTCAGCAGTGGACTTTTATAGGCTGTGATGGATGCATAATAGATATAAAATTATACAAAAATATAGTTTAAAATAAAGATATAAAGTTTACACAAAAAGACTTTCTAGTTTTAGCTAATCTAAGTTTAGGAACATCTAGCGTATTCCTGCGACCCATTCTACAGGAGATAGTTCGTTCTTTTTTATTAAATAAATTTATATTTTTCCGTGAATACATGATTTTCTCAAAAATAATAACAAAGTGTCAAGATATTGATCTCCTTGAATAGGTACGCAAGTACTCTTATTAGTTTGTGATAGGTACGTCACGTAGCACTCGCAAGGCCCAAGTTAAATATTTTCGTGTAATATATCTGCGATTATAGCATAGATATGCAATAAGCAATCAACTTCCTAATCTTTCTAAAAGCGAAGATTGCACGAATTAATTTCAAAGCTATATCAATATGTGCTCCCCACTGGAGTTTGTAATTGATAGAAATTATGAGAAATACAGTAAACTTTTCGAAATCTAAATTATCTTGTAAATTAATTACAGCGTTATTAAAGTAAGTTGTTTCTTTTAATACATATACACATAAATAAACACCCATGCCTGTCAGCCAGAGGGACAGAGATTACGTAATTTTTAACAGAATCCTGTCCTGACACATATCTCTCTCTCTCTCTCTCTCTCTCTCTCTCGCCTCTTTTACATCCATTCATTCCTACGCATACACGCTCTTAGGTTTATGGTACTCTTAATTTGACCCATTTTCAATATAGTTTCTTTTAACTCTAAATAATAATGAGCTAAAAGAACTATATAAGATATTTTGTACCATATAACCATATCATATAGTTTTAAGCTTATTATATACGTTTTTAACCTTTACTCGCCGTATACTCGCTGTAACAACTTAAATTATTCAAATTTATAAAACAATTATAGTAGAATTAACAAATTCTGTTATAATTGTGCTTTTTTTAGTTTAGACAAGCGACGTAAAACTCTAGCAAGCCGAAGTCGATGTTCGCTAGTAGGTACCTCCAATTTTAAGAGCTGGTTTGTTACGTGAAGGAAAACATCGTAACAAAACTTACGTGCCTAAGAAATTTTGAGGTAAAACTTCAAAAACTCTCTTAGAAACAAGTTATAACCCACAAATGGCTCTGAGAGTATGTAGGCTGTTATTATTCTTTTTTGTAATTTTTAATCATTGACAATAGATTATTTCTTAATTATTAATATGATACAATTTGATTCTCAAACAATATTGTTACTCTTTATTAATAATTTTGTCATCTTCAAGAGGGTAAAAAGGAGTTTTTATATAGTTATACGTGGTAGAGCCACGCTGCAGCTATATTATGATTGTAGCACGAATTGGTGGGCTCGACCGGGGAAGAACCACGCTCTCACAAAATACCAGCATAAAATAGAAGTTTAATGCTGCTGTATTTCGTATGGTGAGTGTAGAGGACCGGAGACCCTTTTTTACTGGAAACGAGGCATTCCATCTTAGTCCTCAGGGCTGACAACGCATCTGCATTTTGATTCTTAATCTAGAATCCATCCATCCATCCATCAGTCAGCATAGACTGTGTGCTCGTTTGTCACATTTATTCTATAAAAAAAATTACCTGCACGTGATCGACCAACAAGGCAGTAGTAACCGATTAATAACGGAAAATATTTATATCCAAAACCGTTCAAGAAAGATTTTGCAGAACATTGAAGATTCATGACGCATTATTGTATAAAAAACAAACAGAAAAGCTACTTCAATTTGTCTTCGCATGGGAAGGCAAACTGAGTAAGCATTTCTAGCTAGCTTCCGGCTAGCACGTGTAAATGTTGCTTCAGTACATCCATAAGGTGCGGTAATTAATATGCATATATTGGCCAAAGGGCCTATACAGCCGCTTCTTAACCCACTGTTTCCACCAAATAACAAAATATGTTCGGTTTTTCTAAAGAAAAGAACGTAATGTTGTAACAGAAGGCTAAGGTGCGGCTGAGGTGACCTTTTACTACACATTACAAACATTTATATAATATAATTAATGTCCTTAACCGTCCACGTTAACTGTCTGAAACGCATAAAAGCAGCATTTACGCATTATGCATTCAGTAATGCTAGCTCAATTCGTCTTCGTTCAATTTGGAGACATATGGTGCCAAATCAACCAACACCCCCTTTAAATAAAAAAAGAACCGAAAAAAAAATCCTCCCCCCCCCCCTCCCCCCCCCCGCGTCGCAAACCCCCCCCATTGATTTAGATTTTCTATATACGCGGCCGGGTATTATATCAAGTATAAAAAGTATAGTCAAATACACAAATACAGAACCATAAAGTAGAAGAGATTCATCAATAAAACATTATAATCATCACAGCCTTTCAAAGCACACTGCTTAACATAGGCCTTCTCGTAGATTGTCTTATAAGCAGAATATTTGCCAAAGTTTGCAAGCTCGGCAAGCGGGTAGTTAGTAAGTATAGTTTTTATTTTTATTTCCTAGTTGTTGTAAGTTTATACGTGGTAGAGCCATGCTGCAGTTATATTAGTAGTATAGTTGTAGCACGAATGGGTCGTCTCGACCGGGGAAGGACCACTCTCTCACAGATTACCAGCGTCAAATAGTAGCTTAATGCTGCTGTGTTTCGTATAGTGAGTGTAGAGAACCGGAGACCCTTTTTACTGGAAACGAAACGAGGCATTCATCTTAGTCCTCACGGGTGACAACGCATCTGCATTTTGATTTGTAATCGAGGATAGATGTAGATGTCTATGGGCCGCAGCAACCACTTACCATCAGGTGGACTGTGTGCTCTCACCCTATCCTATAAAAAAAAAGTAAATTTCTCCATCTCCTGGTAGGTTTCCCTCTGTTCCCTCTCACGACACCCACGGTACGAAATGGGGTAGTGGATATTTTTACATTGCCACTAGAAGGTTGATTTAACTCCTTAAACTCTTAAAAAAAAGTTTACAAATTACTGATAAAATATTCAGAGTATTTATCATTGATGTAAGTTAATTTGTTGATTTTCTGTTATGATAATAATAATTTAAAAGCGCAATGAAAACAAAATAGTGTTAAATAGATATGTCGCTAATATCCTCCAGACCGCATTTAGGTCACGGTGGCCATTTTGAATGGAGACTAATTATCTGTGCAGAACAAGATTATAGTGCACAAATGTGTGCGCAAGCACAGGTATCTATACCCTCACTAGTAGTCGAGACGATAATCCGAAACAACTGCAAAGAAAACACGCAGAGGATCATCGACTATATGTGCTTTTCGAGACATGGGGTTCACGCAGCTAACTTGATGACTACGAACTATTACTGAGAATTTCTTGTCTGAAAAATTCTAATTATTTTCCCCCTAACGGGATTCTAACCCAGGATCACATGATCAACAGCCACATTTACAACCAATTGGCCAACGAGACGGTAAACTAATTTTCTTACCTAGTCTGTCACTGTTTATGTAACAAATTAAAGTTAATAGCAGTTTCATGGAATTAGACTTTGAGACTCTCATAACATAGTACTTTAATTATCTGATGTAATGGATGGCGTATAATATCGTGGGCAAGTAAGGTCGTAGAGAGTCCGCTGGCCGACCCACTTCTCCGAATAGCCTTGAAGTGGTCGGTGCACCACTTCACTCCTTAGCCTTGCTTCTCTATCCTTTTTGTTTATTAAATATTATCAGTTTATAATTTTAGCATCAGAAAAAATTCTTACTTAAAATGAATACTAAAAACTGGCAAAACTGTTTTACCATTCAAAGTATATTTAAAGAAATTATTAAAATCAGATTCATTCAAATCGTAAGAGAACATTACAACGTTAATCGTAAGCGCTAGAAATTTCGAGACTATCATGTATGTATAGTATTAGGTTCTAGATTCATTCGGTTAAAAAGATTATAGAAAAATCAAAGCCAACTTTAAAATTTTAATTTTATTAATTTTTAACAAATTATAAATTAGGTACTAGAAACTGTTTAGTTAATTACTAATTAATATCACAAAAGGAACAAGGACAAAAACTGTTCAATTAAAACTATTCCTCTTAATTTTATATTTTGTTGGAGAAGTAAGTTTCATTCGGTATAAAATATTTCCCTTCATTAAAAGCTGGTCTATCCTGCCGCTTGTGGTTGCCTGGTGTGAAGTATAATCGATTGCACTTATTAGCTGGTAAATATGTCGATTGTGGCAATTTGTGTACATAAGGAATCGGGGCTAAACGTCCAATAAATACTGGTGCGTGATGATTGGTGATTTTGTGTACCTTATTGTTGGCGATTTGAGGCATTGTCGCGGGTTCTTTGTGAATCACAGCCTTAAATCCGGTCTTGGGCCCAGCAATGTATGTGACAGTGCGCCTTGTGCCATCAGGATCAATGAGGGAATATGATCCGCTAACAGTGTCTCCTTGTCTTACTTCGTGCAGAGTTTTTGCATCGCCAGTAGCAAGATCTATGACGTTATATGAATAATTGTACTCTGTGCTCGTCGGTGGATAGTCTGTTACTATTATACTCACCACCACTGGAACTATGCAGGCACATAACAACACCTGTAACATAAACATTGTTAAACTTTATTTTGAAAAAAAAATCACACTATATACACTGATATTTTACGAATATAGTAAAGTGTGTGTTTTACCCTTAACATCTTATTATATGGTTCTACAATAGGGTCCAAACCAAAATAGCACACGTAACACCGATGTTGGTCGTATTTATAGACACTTGCATTCACTCGAATGTTCCGTGTTGCACACTAAACTCGTATTGTCACAGATTAAGACATTGCAAGTAATCTGAGCTTTATTATATGTTCATGCGCTTTGTTTATTTATCCATTAACTCGACGGACAAATAATTTAAAAAAATACCAGAAGTCAGGTAACTTACAGACTGCGAAGTACTTAATTTTATCCATCCTTAACCTTCCTTATTTTGAAGTTGTTGCATTTGTCAATGTTAGGTACTATAAGTGCATGTCATTCCAATACGAATATTTAAAAAAAAGGCTTTGGTGATGTCATATGATCGTGTGAAAGTAAACTTAAAAGAAATGCTAATAATAAATGCGAGCATACATTGCTCGAGTTTATTTAATACACTATGCCATGAATTATCACGGTGCCAAGTAGGTACGATACACATTTGCGATATTTCCTGTAATACGCAACAACTGACGTAATGTCATGTCTTACGGACATTAGGCTGTTAAGCCGATGGGAAACGTTTTAAAATATTAAAAATAAAAGTTAATTTATTCCAAAAATTATATATTACTCACTGGGTATTGACAGACAGGTTGTATGCCTAGCGGTCATATTATAACTGTACTACTACGCCGCGAACCCTGGGTTTGAACCCTAGCTAAGCCAACAAAAGCTCACGCGCCCCAATTTGTCACCAATACGTGATGGATGAGAAGCTGCTTCATAGAGTTACGGAGATGAAGGCAAACCATAACCTCTGATTGATAATGCGTCTTGTAAATAATTTCACAAATGTCGTCACTCTGAGTGCGTTATGTGATGCACCCGTGAAGCCAAATACAAATTTATGGTAAAGCGAATTCAAAATAAATTCTCGAAGTCTGAAGAGAAGTCGCTCTCGCTATATACGTGTTGAAGATGATGTGGGGTAGGATACGAGTAGTTAGGTTGTACCAGTTCTGGCGCACTTGTAGAAAGTTTGTACCAGTTCTGGCGCACTGAGTGCTCTGATCACGAATCTGGACTCGAAAGGATATTAACATCAATGGCAAGCACATTACTTACCTTCGATTTACCGATGATATAGTTCTTATGGTAGAACCGCTGAAGGACCTCAGCACTGTGCTCTATCGTTTCTACCAATGGAAAGGTCTTAAAATTAACATGGTTAAAACAAAGGTCACGTGTAACGTCTATGTGACACCTAACTTATCATCGACAATATTGAGTATAGTGCTCCCAACAACTACACCTAATTTTTGGGAGCACTATAGTCGATATTGCCGATGAATATGTTTACCAAGGACAAATTTTCCGACTAGGTAAGTCCAACTTTGACCAAGATTACTACACATCTTCTCATCACGTACACCTCAAAATTTGAAAACAAGATGATAAAACCAGTGCGTGTTGCCAGCGATAACATATGGATCTGATATATATGGTCCTTCACTACTTGCCGAATAAGGAAGCTCAAGGTCACTCAGTTTGCTATGGAGAGACCTATGGTCAGAGTTTCTCTGCATAATAAACTTATAAATGAATAGTATATCCACAGTAGAACCAGGGTAACCGACGCGATGTAGCCGAACGTATTAGTAAGCTGAAGTGGCAATAGACCTGGCATATGGCTTGAAGAACTGACAACCGATGGGTAAAAAAGGTTCTCGAGTGGCAGCCTCGTAAATGTGAGCACCATGTATGGCGGTGCCCTGTCGAGTGACGACCTGTAGAAGATGCAGGGAGTCGATAGATGCCGGTGTGAAGGAAAACATCGTGAGGAATGCATGTCTGAGAAAATTTCGAAGGCATGTGAAGTTTGCCAACACGCATTGAGGTATCGCAGCGAACATTTCCTAGCCCTAAAACCCTCTCAGAAATGAGAGGAGGCCTATGTTCAGCAGTGGACTTTAATAGGTTGTAACTTTAGCTTTTTTAACTTTTATGATTAAGTGTTAACAAATTGATATTAACATGATAACTGTGTTGTTGCAGAAATCATTGAGCTTCGATGAAAATACCTATAAACAGTATTACTACTCGCCACTCTCCCCTCAAGAAGAGAGTGATGACATCGTCATTAATAATAACACATGCGATGGTGGAAAAAGAAAATCGCAATCGATTGATCATTTTTTTGAAGCTGAATCAAAAATAAAAAAGAGGAAGCTGTTATCATCAACCGTAGCACGAGCCGCTAGAGATGGTGTATCATACATTTCTACTAATTCTGACGACGGAGACCAAGCGACGCATCTCATCAAAATTGAAATGTACGATATGAAGAAGCTATCCAAGATTCCAACTACTGATCATTGGAAACATGCTTCCACGAGGATTAAATATTACGTAAAGACTAATAAGGATAGCATCTACGACAACACAAACGCCCTCGTATACAATATTACAAAGACAATAGCAGAAAGTGAAAAAGTTAAAAAATACTTTTTTAACAATGACAGTCATTAGCTGATCATTAGTGAATGTGATTCTGTTTACTTAAATTACTTCTGTGTACTCATTATATTCTATTTCTAATCCTTTGTTAGACTTAAATATCGGACATTATTTGAAATTTGGGTATCAGTTGGTCTACCAACACTGAACTGTTACTTACTCTGCTACCTATTTTCTTCTTTACTATAAGGATGGCAAACTTCAGTGAAGTGTGCACCAGTGCTTTCTTCTCCACAACCATGGAAGAGAATACGGAACTATTCAACAGCGAATTAAATCAGGAGTTGTCTAAAGTTTGTGATGAAATGGAGAAGGATCAACTGTTCGATTCATCGTATGATGATGAGTTGTATAATCACTGTGCGATGGTTGAAACACAGTTTAAGTAAGTAAAATAAACATTAATTTCGATCATAATTTACACAATGTCTTGTACAGTTTTTAATAAATTTAAACATTTTAGTAGTCAACCACTACAACTTGGAAGAGGAACGAAGCGAACGAGCAGCAAAGAACCCAAGATCATCAAAAAACCAACAACGGAAGCAGAAGCGCCTACCTCTGCAGGGAACAGTATCAGTAACGAAGATCAAGTGGAATGTCTAACGTGTCATATATTTATCAAGAAACGGTATTTAGCTAATCATTTTAAAAGTAATGTTCACAAAAATAATCTTTTAAATTCACATAATTCTTTATCAAACGTTAGTGTTATTGAATCTGCTTTTGGAAATAGGATTTTAACTTATAAAATCAAGAGTAGAGTAGATAGTTCGACATTGGTAAATTTTGAAACTCCTGAACTATTTTTAAATTCTATTAAAGATGATATTTTATTTTTAATACAAGAGTGTATTCATCAACACATAATTTTTAAAGTAAACTTCATATTGCATGCTGATTTTGTTCAACAAACTAAAGATATTCATGATACGTTCGATTTTCAAACGCTTAACTATATTATTTTTTTTCATCTTTAAATGATACAATTACTACTAAAATTAGTGCATTTGAAAAAAAAGATAGTGGATGGAGTCTAAAAAACATAAAATCTATAGACATGAATGTTAATAAATTTAACCCCCTACGCGGTACTTCATACATAGATCTTCCTCGTGACATAAAATTAAAAAAGGCTGTTATAAATGTAAAAAGCAAGGATTATTTTTGTTTTAAATGGGCGTTACTCTCGGCGTTATATCCCGTAAACAAAGACGCGGATCGTGTATCATCGTACGTTAAACATGCAAATAAACTTAAATTTAATGGTATTTCCTTTCCAGTTAAAATTTCTGACATAGCAAAAGTAGAGAAATTAAATGATATTAGTATTAATGTTTTTGGGTTAGAATATAATAAAGAAAAACGATGTAATTCTATAGTAGGTCCATTATTTTTAACAAAGTGTCGTAAAGATAGACATATCAATTTATTATTTTTTTCCAAGGATACAAAAAATCATTATTGTTACATAAAAATTTATCGCGGTTAGTTAGTAAACAAATCAAAAGACGGTCACATCATGTACATTTGCGAAGCATGTCTACTTCACTTTCCATCTAAGGAAAGTTTAAATAACCATGAACAATACGATTGTGCCCACATTTGTACAGAATTACCAAACAGTGAAACTTTAAAAAAAAATTGGTTTGGTCAACCTATTTCAAATGATAAAATTAAATTTGATAGTTATGAAAAAAAGTTGAAGATACCATTCGTAGTTTATGCTGATTTTGAAGCATTTTTAAAACCAATAGAATCATGTTCTAACGATCCTTCCAAACCTTTCACACACAATATTCAGAAACATGAAGTACATAGTTTTGGTTATTATATAAAATGTTCATATGATGATAAATTATCAAAATATGTAACGTATTGCGGACCCAACTGTGCACAAGTGTTTATGGAAAGTTTATCTAACAATCTCAAAGAAATAAATAGACTTCAAAAATATCCTCCACTTCCGCTAACAAATGAAGATAAAAACCAAATTTCAAATGCAACCATTTGTCATATTTGTGAAACAGAGTTAGCAGAACATTTTTATGATTTTGATTGGTACACCGGTAGTTTTATAGGTGTTGCTCACGAATCATGTAGCTCGAAGTTCAGGAAACCTCGTTATATACCAATATTTTTACATAACCTTAGTCACTATGATGCTCATTTTATTGTTCACGCGTTAAACTTTTGTGATGGTGAAGTCGAAGTTATCCCTCAAAATAAAGAAAAATATATATCCTTTTCCAAAAAATTAAAAATGAATAACCACGAAATTATATTAAGATTCATAGATTCATTTAAGTTTTTATCATGTAAATTAGAAGAATTGGCCAAAAATCTCAGTAATGATCAATTTCAAGAATTACGTAGAAATTATCCTAATGATGAAGATTTGTTTCGTTTAAAACGGAAAGGCGTTTATCCATATGAACTTATGACTAATTATGATAGTTTAAGCCTAACATCGCTCCCCGAACAA